CAGATATTTTCATTATGAACTGAATGTTAGTACAGCAGCATGGGTGGGAAGTCAAAACATTTCTGAAACTACAAATCTGCGGTATTTTTTACTTTTCCTGCTCGTGTGATACTTTCCTCCACATGGCCACATATGCTTGTGGCCTCGGTAAAACCTTTTTGTCACACGTCCAGCCGTCCCCTTCTTCTCTCCGCCGGATGGACATGGCACGACATTGTGGCCATGTGGCCAGCAGGAGGCTGTATTTAAGCCGGCGCAGCTCTGAAATGGGCCATAAAACCCAGCCAGCAAGTCTGGCTACCCGTGAGGCAATGGGCCTAAGCACTCATTGACAAGACTCCAGTATCACTGACTTCACAGAGAGAACAACGGAGGAAATAATGCTAGAAAGAAAGCAGCCGGCAACGACGGACTGCAGTAAAAGATGCAAAGATGAGCTGGCCTGTCCAGTTGTCTGGCCTCAATCAACAGGCTCCTGTAACTGTTAGCAAATGGTTTCAACCCCTCTATGCAGCTGTTTTTTCAGTGCAGATAGACAGAAATCCCCCAAAACTCAATACTTTCAGTCAGTTCATTGACAATGAGCTGGTCACCCAGTTTGCACTTCTGTCGAAAAGGTTCTGAGGATGACACGTATTTAAGGGGGACACACCGTGTTTCCACCTAATCATACAGTTCCAGATGAGCAAATAGCTCAGTTCTGTCCCGTCACAGCTTCACATAAGCTTCACCTGTTCTTCCCCCAATATATCGCAAGATGTGACAGACTTGTCGCTTCTACCTCATGATCAATTTGGCAAGGGGTGAATAATTAGCTGCATCTGTGTGGAGACAAAGAGATGTTTGATGGCTGCCAGACGAGTGTATGAGACTGTGTGCGCACCAGGAACAGATTTATGATCCAGCCAGTGGTTCACACAGGACATGTTTGTACCTACTGGACCTCTGGAAGCAGCCACTTATTCATGCAGTGTTCCATATATCAGGAGGGAAGTCCTAAATTTCTGGGAAACCCACACGAGGCACATGAGTGAGGAATTATTTGGCTAAAACTAAACATGCTTGTTTTGCACGCCTTCTTAGGTGCTTTCGGTAACTGGGGATACTGGGGCTCCCAAGACTCTCTCTCATTTTAATTGACTTTGGCCTGCAGGAGACTTGTGTCCATTCAGACCTTTCTGGGCAGAAACAGAGAAAGGGGGAGGGAGGGAGACACAGAATGTGAATAGAGCCCCCTCAGTAACTGCAGAGTGCAGCCCACTAGAGCTGTTCTTGTTAGTTTGCTCATACTCTTTGTTCTCCTTTCAGCCCTTCTGGCTAAATGTCTTCAAACAAGCCGTTTGGGGGTCATGATTCTTCACGAGGGGTTTACAGCAAGAACTCGCCTTCATTGTTGCGGAGTGTAGGGAAAGAGTGAGGGGAATGTGTTGACCGGGTGTGAATGCCTGCGTTATTTTGTGGACATTGGGGACCAAGCCATGTGGGACGATGCCAGGTGGGAGTCCAGGGTTGACAAGGGAGCAGGTGTCTATTAGATACAGAGCAGCGAGGAGGGGAGCGGTTTGGGGGTAGACTAGGATCATAAGAGCTTTTGGCATCTGCCTTACCTGCTGCCTTCTCTGTGCACTGCCAGTAAATTGAGAGAAAAAGAGGGAGTTCGAGAAGGAAAAAGACAAAGAGAGCAGGAAAGCATTTTAGGGGAAGCGCCAATTGTAAGGAGGGCCTTTGTGCTGGAAACCATTCATTTCATGTTTTTGGGGTATCCCCTCCACTTGGTACGTTGTTCCATATTTAATATGGTCAATTTATTTGTTTTTGTCATCTTCTATGTTCAACATACTGATAAACAAACTGCAACTGCTTTCTGCTTTTTTCAACAATGAAGTACAATGAAGAAATAAGTTCTTAACGGCTTTAAAGGAAACACACCAGAGCTTAAAGGTTATCTGTATCACATGTGGACATAATAGGACGCCACACAAAGTGCCAAATGCCACTTTGGTTTCTTTTTGACACTGAAAGATAAGATACAAGGAACATACTGGCTTGTATTTGCAGTCTGACTAGTTTGTTAGCCATTAAAAAACTTTGGTCGCACGCATGCAAACGGTCACGAGAGAAAAAGAAATGTCCTAAATAAACAATCAACAATCTTCCATAATTTAGCAAGTTTTTGTTTTTCCGTGTTGAAATTTAAGACCATCCATCCATCCATTTTCTGAACCGCTTATTCCCAAATAGGGTCATGGGGGGCCTGGAGCATATTCCAGTAGTCAATGGGCGAGAGGCAGGGTAACATGGAAAATGAATTCTTGGTCCAGATATCTGTTCAAGGAGACACATTATCTCACTTTTTCCACTGGTTCATTTTCCTGAGGTAATGATAAAATGTCTCTGGTGGACTTTGGTCACAATAAGAAAAACAGTCCTCCTTCTCTTCCTCCTTATTCCTTTGCAGCCCCAGTCTTGTTTTGTTTGAGTAACTAGTAGCTATTTTAGGCAAAGCTTGCATTTTTAATGGAGGGTGACGTTTAACAACTATCGGCAAATCAGACTTTCTTAGTTTGAATATAAAACAGTATACAGACTACAGGGAAAGCATTACATAATTCCAAACTTTGGTAAACAACCTCTGCTTGATACAATGTTGTTCTTAAAAATCTACTTCTTCATGATTTAAACCTGGAAGAGGCAGACTGCAATACCAAGAGCCCGGAGTTATGGCATACCTTTTTGCTACAAATCCAAGTGGCTCACTGAAGGACATTCTTACAGAGCCGGGTAGAAAAAGGAAAATGGCAAGGCTTGTTTTTAGACTCCTTTAGTGGGTAGAGATGTCAGACGCTTCAATGTTAACACTTCATATGTCCTCCATATCTGGAAATCTGCTGGTTCAAAGAACTCAGAAAGACTAACCAATACCCCCAGAGACATAATCATTTGACCAGTCATGGCTACTTTTCCTACAAAGTGTATCTAGCATCAGAGGAAAACTGCTGTTATCTCTTCACAGCACCTTGTTGAATGTATATTTGAAAACCATTCAACAGAAGAATTGATAATTGAATGGAAATAACTTATTTTTCTGGAAGGACACATTTGTACAGACTGGTTTCAATTTTTTGGGGGGGTCCAAACGTGACTTGGTTACAATTTGGAACAGACTCCTCAAAAAGCTAGAAAAGGCTCATGAAAAACATATATTTTTTGCCATTTGGGTGAACTGACCCTTTAGGTCAGTAGGCCATTTTCTTCCTGGAGTGCAAACCGGTATTAAACAGTATGGTTTATCTCTGCCTCTGGCCTGTTTGTGGGGTGGAAGCTGGGATGGTGGGGGGGGGGGGGGGGGGAGTACGGTCATTGAACAGAGCATTGAACAACTGTCAGGGATGCAGCCCATGTCATTTGTCATGTCTCCCTTGGGCTTATGACAGCACGCAAAGCTGAAGGCCCTGTTACTGAACCACCCTTCTAGTCCCAGCAGATGCATTTACTGCCATTCGCCATGGTTGACCATCAGGCTGGGCAGCTGAGCACCAGAATATCAATATGGCTCAGACTCAGCCGGGGCCCCTTGGGACTATCTACCAAGCAAACCGGATCTCTCTCCTTATAGAGATATGTTACCACTATGGAGGCCACTGTAAACAAAGGAGACCAATGCTCAGAGGCACAAAACACCGGTTTGATTCCCTCCAAATTGAAATTTTGAAGGCTCTGCACCTGTGATGATAATATGCAGTTTTGGATCTTCTCGGGGAGACGGGTGAATCTATTGAGGGGCCGTCTGTGGGAGGCGATGAGGAGAGAAACAGTAATCCTTTTGTGTTCATCATCTGCACTGTCCTCGGAGATGTTTAGGTGTGGGAGGAAGAGGGAGAGGATATAAGAACTAAAGGGGTTGGCTGCTCCTCCTCTTGTGATGTGAAACCTCAAGTTTATCCTCTGATTCAATGACAGAGCCTCTCCTTTAAACAGGCTGCTGCTCACTAGAAGTGGTAATTTTCTAAGGCCATAACATCCTTTGTTTAACGCCGGTGTGGAATAATTCCTCTTTAAGCGGCAAAAACTGCCTCTTCCTGGGTTTTGTTTCTAGTCAGTCGATCTATTGACATTTCTTTGCTCTGCCTGTTCTGTCCTGTGGCTGTTGCTGTCGGGCTCAGTGTGAAACAAGGATGCTGCCCACATATCTAGACAGTCTTGCGATGGCACAGCGAGGGCATAAATTGCGGAGACATGTTTATCAACATGAAGAAGTGCAAGTTACCCCTTGTTGGAAGAGAATAATGGGTCCTAATTGAGCTGTAACATGCTGGCTGGTTGCCAGGCCCTTGAATTTAAAACTCTTTCCATCAGGAGGGAGTCTGAGGAGAGGGAGGGTGCTGTTAAAACATTGCAGTACTCTCTAATGTAACTCCATAAACCTAATTGCCACACTCCGATCTGGTCGCGTTTGATTGAAAGTGACTCGAAATCTGTGCATTTACCCGCAAATACGATTTTATTAGTGGACGTGCACCTGTGCTGACTTTTCTATCAACCAAAGCGCCGTCGTGGTAAAGTTGGATCAGTTCTCTGGAGGATCAGCGCAGCCTGTCTCCTGGCACCTGCCTCGCCAAGAAACAGGCGGGAGGAAGAGGGAGGAGGAGGAGGAAAAAGAAAAGAGAGGGAGCTGGAGCGGGTGGGAAGGAGGAAAAACCCAGCTGCCTCTGTGCCTGAGCCCCGTGCTGCTTTTAAAGGAGTGGGAGGGAGGGGAGGGAGAAGCAGGGAGACTGCTGGCACCATCTGTACTTGTCTTTTGTATTCCAGCCCTCATCTTTACACAGAGCGAGGCTGGTGTGCTCAGTGTTCAAATGCAAGGATAGGAGGTGCCTTTTGGGGTGCAGTGCTCCCGTGTGTCAGCGCAGAAATTCAGCGTTGTGCTCCCGAAATTTGTGGCACTCAGAGGACATCTTGCGTCCTGTTTATTTGCGTCTCTACCCGTGTGTCATTGAGCTCGTATGTGGTCAGATCTCTGGGTTTCCATGCGTCTGGTGGCAGTCAGAAGCCTTTGTTTGTTCCTCCCTCCTATCGGCACCATTAGCGTGGCGTCCCCGCCGTCGCCGACTCACTCAGCCTTTATCATTGTGTGTGTTACTATGAAGGAGGCGGCCCATCGTTGCGTGTGGCAGCTGGGTGGATTCTGCCCGCGAGGACAGCCTGCAATGTCTGCTGTCACATTGACGTGGCTTTTTTTTTTTTTTTTTTTGCACGCAGCTGAAATCACTGAGCGCTCTGCCTTACCCACCCACCCCTTCAGCTCCTCGCTCACACCGCAAGTGCTGTGAATCATAAGAGGAGGTGGCTGCCCTCCTCTTTGATTGAATCCATATTCCCTTTTCTCTTCCAACACCACAGACATAGGCTACAAGGAAGCAGGGGAAGTGAGAGGGAGAGAAAAAGGAAAAGTGAGTCTTTTGTAGCCGGCGCAGTGCAAACATATGTACTGCAGATGAAAAGCACATGATTTGATCAAGCACGCTCTGTTGTGGCTGTCTAACCAAGCGGTAGGTAGGTAGGAGCAGAGAGGCAGAGGAGTGGAGTTCATTTGTAGACCTACAGTGAACCCTAGTGGCTATGAGCAACAGTAACACTGCATTAAAACCGATTGTTATTCTAAATTGCAGATTTAACATCTTTATTAAACCCTTTAACCCTTCTTATTTTAATCTGATTATATAAGATAAAATATATTCACCATACATGTGAAGTGGCATAAAGTTCAAGAATGTTGCCTTATATACATGCACATTTTGTCAGTAAAAGCAGCCTAGCACGTTCAGTCACTGTGATCATCTAGCTTCTTTAAGTATGTAGCATCATCTGAATCAATATAAACCAGAACTATGTTCAAACTGCTTTTGCAGAAACATTTCATTTCTCTGTCATGTATCGTCCTGAATATACTTGCTGTTGTCTTTGCTTTGTTTTGTTTTTTGTTTTTTGTGTGGTGTGGCACTGTTGGTACATTTGCACGATGATGGAAAAATGTTGTAATTAGACTTTAAAATTTCATTAACCTTTTTTGTGATGGAAATTGAAATATAATTAGCCGTACACCTATACACTCTGGTTATAGAGTTTTGTATAGAGCGAAATAAACAGATTAGCAGAAGATTAAGAACCAAAGTTTTGGTAGTTTTGATCATTTTAATAGATAACAATGAATGTGTTTTGCACATCATAAACAGTTAATGAAACTGCGTAGGCAGCAGTGTTTCTCCAATGGTGCAATCAATAAGTCACCTTCTGTAAAGAAGCAGTTGTTACAGCAATTTCTGCCTGTGCTGTATTTTAATCTTCATTTAGGGTAACAAATGCTAATAGTTGAAATGCCCATGAACTGCCGTTTCCTTCCCTGTGTTTTAAACAATAATTTCTAAATCAGGTAATTGCTTTTCAGTTGTATCTCAAAGTGTGCTTTGAAGTTGTTTGTGTTTTTTTTATTTAATCTGCCTTCTGCCCTAACAGATAAGATACTTTTCTCTACTTTAGACATGCTTAGTGTAAAAAAACATCACCATAGTAGACTGTTAGACAATTTCTCAAACATCACTCACAGATCTTGCTTTGCTCTTTTCTCAGCCCTTTTGTCTTCGTGGTGTGAGGAGCTGGGACGCCTCCTCCTCCTTCGTCACCAGAAGAACAGGCAGAACGAACCTCCGGGAAAAGTGCCCATGCAGCCCCCCATGAGCTCCATGAAACCCAGCCTCTCACATGGGTCAGTGTTTACACTGCTGTGCTTTTTGGCTTGTGTGTGCTTGGATTTTGTAAACAGCCATGGCCAAAAGGGAAAGCCCTTTCTCTCCATGTGAATTCCAGTGTTCTTTATGGATCAGCAGCACAGCAAACTGCTTGAGAAAAGACTTCCAACAATGTTGATTAAAGTGCTTACAACTAGTTGTTTTCTTATTGCAAGACAAATTACAAAAAAGTGGTGTGCCACAGCACATTTTATTGTTTTGCCCACATCTTTTTTTCTCCATCCCACACAGAGATGGCTCTTTTCCATATGACTCGGTCCCATGGCAACAAAACACTAATCAGCCTCCTGGATCGGTGTCTGTGGTGACCACTGTATGGGGCGTAACCAACACTTCACAGAGCCAGGTGAGGAAGTCAAGTTCATTTGAGAGGCCTTAATAAGGCTGTGATAAGACATAATTAGATCTGTACCAGCATACTGATGGTTTTGGAGTTGAACAAGCTCTTTCTACATATTTACCAACAGGTGTTGGGGAATTCCATGGCCAATAGTAATCCCATGAACCCCGGAGGTAACCCTATGGCCTCGGGTATATCTGGTAACAATCCAGGTATGAATTCTCCTCCATTTGCTGGCCAGCAGCAGCAGTTCCCCAACAAAGGCAACTCAAACCAGGGCTACATGCAGCAGGGCATGTACGGACGACCCAACTACCCTGGGGCAGGAGGCTTTGGTGGCAAGTAGGTGGATTTTGAAGCTATTGCGGCAATCAGTGCTCAGTTCTGAAACAGTGCTGTGCAGTAATTCCTTTTGTTGTGCTTGCTCTTTAAGTTACCCCGGAGGTCCGAATACTGGACCCGGTGGGATGGGCATCCCTCCACACTCTCGTCCTCCCTCGGACTTCACGCAGCCCGCTGCCGCTGCTGCAGCTGCTGCAGTCGCCGCTGCTGCTGCCACGGCAACGGCCACCGCCACAGCAACTGTAGCCGCCCTACAGGAAACCCAGAACAAGGACATGAACCAATATGGGCCGGTAGGTGAAGCACAAACCCATTAGCATGAAGGAAACGCTGCTAACCTCTTTAATGCTCATTCCCTTTAAATACTGGTCTTCCAACTTTAACAGTTGTACTATTGGAGAGCTGCATAAAGAGTCATAATTGGTCAATGATTAGACAAGCAAAGTAAAATAGAACATCATGCTAAAACCAGAGCCCAGATATGGTTTTTTTATTCCTCTTGATTTGCAGAAATTAGAGTTGTCTTTTTCATAAACTTTCATGATTGAAAATAAACCACAATGATTGTCGTGTCAGGGGTTGTTGACTAAGGCCATTTTGTTTTACAGATGAGTTCCTCTTTCCAGATGGGACCAAACCAGGCATATAACAGTCAGTTCATGAACCAGCCAGGGCCTCGCGGCCCTCCTTCCCTCCCTGGAAACATGGGGGCAGGCATGAATGCATCCAACATGAGTGGACCCCCAATGGGAATGAACCAACCCAGGGCCCAAGGCATGGGGCCTTTTGGAGCCCACGGACAAAGGATGCCTCAGCAAGGCTATGCAGGACCCCGGCCTCAGGGCATGGGTATGCAGAGCATGAAAAGGCCGTATCCAGGGGAGGTGAGTGGATAATTTGACTATATCTCCTTCATTATCTAGCTATTTTTGTATGCTGAATAGATGTTTCCATTCACAGCCAAACTATGGCGGGCAGCAGTATGGACCAAATAGCCAGTTCCCTAACCAGCAGGGGCAGTACCCCACACCCAATGCTTCTAGACCGCTGCCATCTCCCAACTATCCCAGCCAGAGGATGCCAGCACAGCAGCTGCAGGGCCAGTACCCACCACCCGGTGGTCCCATGGGCCAGTACTATAAGGTACTGTGGATTTATACCAGAAACACTGTTTACAGGTTTTATATGGCATTTCTTGTAATGCTAATTAAGAATATGATAAATCCATTTACAGCAAGAGCCACCATTCAATGGTCAAACAAATAACTTCTCTGGGAGTGGATATCAGTACAGCCAGGGGAACATGAATGGGGTAGGTTCATTATTATTTCATTCCATTATCAAACTCCTGGGTGTGCTCTTAGTATTCCCATGAATATTTGACTTACTATTATATTGTGTTTTCGTTCAGCCTCCAAGACCGGTGGGTAACTACCCTCACTCCCCAGTGCCAGGTAATCCCACCCCTCCAATGACCCCAGGAAGTAACATCCCTCCATACCTGTCACCAAACCAGGATGTGAAGCCACCCTTCCCACCTGACATCAAACCAAATATCACAGCGCTCCCTCCCCATCCAGGTCTGTCTATTGAACATCTCAAATGAAAATAACTTTTATAGCATTTTATAGCTGTTGATCATCTAATACTGGTTCTTCTCTATAAATGTAGCCAACCATAATGAAGAGCTACGCCTGACGTTCCCAGTGCGGGATGGTGTTGTCCTAGAGCCCTTCCGGCTCGAGCACAACTTGGCTGTCAGCAACCATGTCTTCCATTTACGGCCCTCAGTTCACCAGACGCTAATGTGGAGGTAACGCATCCAGTATATTTTGTTTTAAATCCTGTATAAAAAGCGTGAATTCCTCCTCTTCCCCTACGAGACTAAACTCGAAAGAAAACATTAACCGGAGTACCTTTGATTTACACATTATGTCTGTCTTGGTCCCTTACAAAAATCACATTAACATCTGCAGCTTTTCATGAGCCCTGTAAACATACCACTCAACATTTCTTATTTATTCAGATCGGACCTAGAGCTGCAGTTTAAGTGCTACCATCATGAGGATCGTCAGATGAACACCAACTGGCCGGCATCGGTCCAGGTCAGCGTCAATGCCACACCGCTGACCATTGAGCGGGGCGACAACAAAACCTCCCACAAACCCCTGCACTTGAAGCATGTATGCCAGCCAGGAAGGAACACGATCCAGATCACTGTGACTGCTTGCTGCTGTGTGAGTAGACAATAAAAACAACTAATGACAGCTTTGGTCCTGAAGATCATAGGATAGTAGAGAAACAAAACCTGTCAGTTTGACAATATGATTTGGTTTAAAAACAGTCAGATAGGAATGCTAACTCTGAGGTTTCCTCCCGTAGTCGCACCTGTTTGTTCTGCAGCTGGTCCACAGGCCCTCAGTCCGTTCCGTCCTGCAGGGTCTTCTAAAGAAGAGGCTCCTGCCTGCAGAGCACTGCATCACCAAAGGTATCCACAGTTACAGGTCGAACCTCATTACGCCTGATTTTCTTCTTCGAGGTTTAGCTTTACACACTGTTCCTTCTCTTCTGCCTTAAAGTCAAAAGGAACTTCAGCAGTGTGGCAGCGTCTTCAGGCAATGCCACGCTAAACGGAGAGGATGGCGTAGAGCAAACGGCCATCAAGGTTTCCCTTAAATGTCCAATCACTTTCCGGCGAATACAGCTTCCAGCAAGAGGCCATGACTGCAAACACGTTCAAGTAAGACTTTAGCGGCCAACCACTGCTACCAGATGACAGAATTTCATTTTAAAAAGTGTTATAATGCAAATACATGTGATTAATATTTCCCTGTTTGTACAGTGTTTTGATTTGGAATCGTATTTACAACTCAACTGTGAGAGGGGAACATGGCGATGTCCTGTTTGCAAGTAAGTTTTTACTCTTAAGGTGCTGAGCTGCACTTGTCCCTTTTTTCCTATCAGTAGTTTTGATGTCTTTTTTTTTTCTTTGTCAGTAAAACGGCCTTGTTAGAAGGACTTGAAGTGGACCAGTACATGTGGGGAATACTAAACGCCATTCAGAAGTAAGCTCAATTAAACCACCTCAGACTATGTGTCCCTTTCATGAATCCTTGTATCCTAACCGTTTGATTTAAACTTTGTTCCATCAGCTCAGAGTTTGAGGAGGTCACGATTGACCCGACATGTAGCTGGCGGCCGGTGGCTATAAAATCGGACATCCACATCAAGGAGGATCCAGATGGACCTCTGGCCAAAAGGTTTAAGACAATGAGTCCCAGCCAGATGATCATGCCAAATGTGATGGAGATGATTGCTCAACTCGGCCCTGGACCATCACCGTACCCATCGGTTCCCTCTGGCCAAGGTGGCAACAACAGTGAATATGGAAGCCAAGGTAAGTCTTCAAGCTCCCAGGGTTCTGCAGAAAGCTTAGAATAATGCTACAAATGCATGCATGTATTTACAGTGTATCATTTGTGTTTAGGTAACAGTTACCAAGGGCATGGGACCTTCGACTTTCCTCACGGTGCCCCAGGTGGTACATCGATGAATGATTTCATGCACGGTCCCCAGCTGTCTCACCCACCCGACATGCCCAGCAGCCTGATGGCACCGGATAAGCCACTGTCCCACAGCATGCCTGATTCAGTGAGTCCTCCCATCTTTATGCTACAGTAACTCTGCATCTGGGATTTACCTTCAACCCAATCTCTATTGTCCCTTGCAGGGGTTATGAAACTAAACTGACAACATGAAAAGTATGTCAGTCAGTCAAGCTTCTTTTACTTGCTTCACTTCATTCACATCTGTAGGTTTTATTGACCTTACTGCTGTTAGTAACTTGAAAAATAGTCATAAAATCGCTTGGAAAATCAGCCTATTCCCCGTGATATGAACTGGGAAAATTTGGAAATAATATATAGAGAAAGATAAATAATTTGCAATGGCTGTTTGCCCTAGTTTCAGACAGGTAAAGGGGTTGACAATCATCATAGACAAAGAGACAAAATTCCCAAGCCATCTAAAGATGACCATAATTTAGAATACTCATTTGAATATTTTTTCGCTCTCCACAGATACCTCATTCTGCTGCCACTGACCAGTCGCATGGTCCCATGCAGCCGAGCTTACACGCATCTCCACATCCCGCGAGCCAGCAGGGGCAGCATCTACATCACAGCGGGCCTCCACAACCCTCGCGGCAAGCTCCGCCCCCTCAACAACAACCACCGCCGCAGCAGCAGCAGCAGCCCGGCCCCAACAGCCATCTCCACAGCGACCTGACCTTTAACCCCTCCAGTGGTTTGGACAGCCAAGCCGGGTCAGACATGCCTGAGCCATCGTTAGACGTGAGTACTAGGAAAATGAGAACGTTTTCACATTTTGAAATGAGAATGTAAATAGTGTATTTTTTTTTTTTTTTTTACTTGAGCATATTTTTTACAATCGTATTTTCTATTTTTTAGCTCCTTCCTGAGCTCGCCAACCCCGATGAACTCTTGTCTTACCTGGATCCCCCAGACCTCCCCAGCAATAGCAACGATGACCTTCTATCGCTTTTTGAAAACAACTGAGGCGTTACAGACACACAGACTTTACTGACTGCTCGCAGCTTCCCTGAGAACCCACGGTGGTCACTCAGTACTTGACAAACACAAAGATGCACTCCCTTTCTCTTCTTCCTCATACAGTTTTTCGCAGATTGACTGGAAGAGATTCAAACCCAAAAGACCCTGCAATGATACCTTTGACTGTGCAGCTATACTCAGTTGATTTTTTTACACCACACACACACGTGTGCTCATTAGAAAGATGTTGTAGCATTTTTTTATTGATGTTTTGTTTTCTTTTTTGGAATTAAAAGAGTTCAATATTTAAAAAAAAAAACATACAAAATAACAAAGCCTGCGCTATCTGGCCAGTTTGTGTAAAGTCTTGCTCTCTGAGAGGCCACAGCTTCCTGGCGTCACAGCGTCCATTCCCTGACCGGTCTGGTTAGTCCCACTGTTTGCTCCACCACACATCATCTAAAAGCACAAGAGATTCTGGCAATGCAAAAAAACAGAACATCAATCTTTACAAAAGGAACAAGATCAGTTGGATCACTCTATGTCTGTCTTCGACAAAATGTTTTCTAGAATGTTTTTTCTCTGTTGCCAAAATTTTTCGAAAGATTTTCGGGAGTGACTTGCTTCCATTTTGTCTACAATTGCGTCTGTTCAGGATTGACAGGTTTTTCCCAATTCAAACGTGAAAAAAACATTTTATACAGCGTAACAAGAATAACATATCTATTCATCCACATATTGCATAGTTGTCGTCCTGTAGAGAGGAGGGATTTTAAAGAAAGTGAAAGGTACACTATGAGAGACTGGGGTTCCTGTGTTGATCTTGCTGCGGTTTTGCTTCCATCTTCAAATCCTTCCATGTCATCTGCTCTGCATGAGCCTTGGTGTCAGCAGTTTTGCAAAGTTGCATCTCTGTCCCTGTTAAATGATGTCATATTTAAGTAATCTGTCAAGTGCATGTGTGCCAAGCCCATGTTTAGTGCTGTTCAAGTGGTGAAAAAACATTGTGTGGTTTAATCAGTTGCTGTTTCCTCGTCTTCTGTTTTTTTTCTGTTTTTATTTCGATTCACCTCAAATTTAGTATGATTTTATTTAACACTAACATTGAAGGGATGATGCTGATGGCAAGAGTACATTTATTATGTACCCATTGTTTATTCGCTGTTAGGATTTTGTTGTTTTGTTGCTGCATAATTAAACTATCTAAGAATCTTTTGGAAACTGCTCAACATCACCAAAGCTAGAGGGATGAGAATGGATCTGTTTGTGTTTGCACGGACCTGCGTACAACTGCGAGGGGTATGCGTGTGAGTGTGTGTAGGTGTGTGTGTGTGTGTGTGTGCGCGTGTGTGTTTCTACTGGTGTGATGGTAAGACCCAGTTTATCATCACTGCTGTTTAAAAAGTGATTTTGCAAAGCAGTATTGATGCAAAGTTTTTTGCCACATTTGTTTTCAAATTCACTTTTGAGAAGAGTGCTGTTCAGTATGCAAATGTATTATTTTTTAAGAAAAGCTATTGTACTGTAAATATCATTGTGAATATTTTTGTATCATCTCGATTATGTTTGTCCTTCGATCATTAGTCGTCCAGCCTAACCGCATATGCTCCAAAACCTCCAGCTGACCACTGGCTTTGTTTGTAACCAGCTGTCTCGCATCCTCATCATCAGGAAACCAGTTGAAACATCTCATAAGTTATATCCTACAAGTCAATAAGATTTCTAGTCACTTTTCACACCCATGGTCTCTGTCCTGTGGTGGCTTTCCCTGCGTCACGTGATCATGTTTCATCTTTTCACAAATATCAAACTTAGTTTAAAGCAATACTTTGTTTCCTGCTGAGATGATTAACAGTGATCACTGTTATCAACTCAGAATTAATGTTATTCTGTGATTCTGAGCAGCACTGGTTTTCAGAACATGTGGTATCAGCTTGCTTTCAGTGTGATTATTGAGCTATGTGAATATCATAACTGTTGCTAATTGTCAATACGCATGGTATTTTAAAGATATATCACAATCATATTTTTAAAAAAATCATAATATTGTTTCTATTTTTGTTATAGAAAAAGTGGCTTTTTTAAAAGCATGAGACCATAAACATTTTTATCCCCTTCTGTTTTTTGGTAAATTATTTTGTACGCGTTTTCTTATTAATCTGTAAGGCTAGAAATCCAATTTCTTTCAACTGTAGCAGTGTGCTGAATTAACCGCCCTGATTTTATGTCAAGATTTTTTTAAATATCATTTAAGGATTATCATTTGTTCCAGCTCAAAGCACTGACATGTTCCATATCTATGTCACAAAAAAGTCAAATCATTTAACAGTACCACCTTTTCAATTGTTTACTATCTGAAATTAAACTCTCACTGCAGATTTCACCGTTTTTACTTTCAAGTGACCCAATTTGGTATCTAAAGCAGCACCCTGAAATTATACTTGCACAATCACAATTTAAGGCCATTTCTTTTAGGGGATGTTGTTGAAAAAAAGACAGAAAGAGAAAAACATCAAGTCGACATTTAAATTTGAAACACAGAGAGGAAGGGCACATTTATTGGTCTGGCCAGGAACGGATGCTGGGGGCAAGGCTGGTTAAATGTCCCAAGGATGTCTGTACATATGTAAATTAATATAGACATGTGAACAGAAATGTATTCATTTTCCCTGGGAATGTACATTGTTTCTTCAGAATAATAAAAAAAAGCTTGCAACCCCTCTACCGGAAGTGGCTGAATATGGACAATGAAACATGTTAGTTAGTGTCTGTGGGTAACTCTGCAATTTGTTCCCCCATCTGTAATATAATTTCACCTCTTTTGTTTGGGGGAACTGGGACAGCTATGTTTTACATGTACTATTTAGCCTAAGTGTTCTAGTCTCACCGGCATACTCTGAGGTGCTAAAGCTTAAAAAAAAGAAGACATTTTTCAGAAAATAAGGTTACAAAGAAAAACAGCGAGGAGATGTTGGTGGAAGAATGGAGGTGAGAGGGATGGGTCCAGAAGATTGTAACCAAATTTATAGTTTGTACAATTTTTGATATCATGCACAGTTTGAAAAAAATGATAATCTTTCGGTGATTCATGCGATGTGGCCATTGTCTCTATGTTTGTACATTGTATGTACAATCATTTCATACTCTAAACTGGTCAGAAAATAAAGGAACTAATTGTGATTTTTAGTCTTGCAGAACTGTATGTAGTTAGATGATGTGACATCCTAATATTTATCTAATAAATATGTATTCAGATGATACTTACATGTTATTGTGGTTTTGTCTTTTGTTAGCATCCACCACATTCTGGCAATAATTCTTAATATACACGGGGTGTTGGTTGTGATTATAGTAATTTATAATATGGAAAATTCAAAAAGGAAAAATGGAAATACAAAGGCTTGGGGTAATAAATAAATACATTTAAATTGAAAAAGGGGGCAGTAAAAGACACATAATGCATCTATAAATAAAGACAAAACATGGAAAAACAGTCAAACTATGAGGTTCAAATAAATCATAAAGTAGATCAATGAGATATAGAGTTATATTTGGATACCAAAGTAGTACTATCAATAAAATAGTGTCTTCTTTTAAATGAATTGAAACACTATGTGTATCTGCTCTCCTCCATACCATACACTTCACCTCTTGTGTGTAACCTCGCGAGATTTCACCAACCACGCATTGTGTAAGAAAGCCTCCTTGAATGCAGCACATGAGCGTGACATTAGCGTAATATCCAGCCCGAACGACGTGTCTTAGCGCCATAAGTTGTGTAAAAATGTTAATTTTCACAAACAGAGTCAAATTCTGCTCCCTGGCGTTTACCGCCGCCCGGCTGTACAGCAGCGGACCCGCGGCTGCCAACAAGAACCCGATGGTTTACTTTGACCTGGCTGCAGACAACGAGCCGCTCGGCAGAGTTACATTCGAGGTGAGATATGAAAAGTTCAAAACGCTTCCTTATTTTTTCTCTCACTCTTGACAGTTTGTGGACCAGGTGTGTTTTAGTCGCCTGTAGCTCCTCGCGAGCCTCTGGTTTTGGGTTGCGGGTGCTCAGTTTGCAGGAGAACACGTTGCTCATTTGACCCCTGGCTCTTTCGTTTTGTTTTGCAGCTCAACGCAGACGTTGTGCCAAAAACTGCAGGTAAGAACTGTTCTCTCCCCCAATCACACGCTGTTTAGTACACTTAAAACAGTTACTCGTGACTACTCTTGTTAGGGACTTGAATTCTTGGGTGTAAAAATGACAGGTGTTTATTTGAATGGATTTTCAGATAAAAATTATTATGCTCATGACTCCAGTTTCGTTATGTGGGCTATCATTAGATGGAGGAGCTTAAACAAGTTTGCACTTGCAGAAAACTTCAGAGCGCTGTGCACAGGGGAGCATGGCTTTGGGTATAAGGGATCCATTTTCCACAGAGTGATCCCTCAGTTCATGTGCCAGGTATGCTTTTCTCTGTTTCCCATTAGTGTGTGTTTGTTGCACACTAATCTTGTCAACAAGTGTTCCATTGATGTGTTTTGTTTCTTCAGGGGGGTGACTTTACAAACCACAATGGAACTGGAGGGAAGTCCATCTATGGCTGGAAGTTTCCTGATGAGAATTTCAAACTCACGCACACTGGACCTGGTAATAATCCCCCTTCCTTTTCTCACTGTTGCATTAACATAAATAAATGGAGAAACACAAAGGTTGTGTTGCAGCTGGATTACTACAATGAATTTTCAGGCGTATCTGCGTGTTGCTGCGTGTTGTCGTGTTACTTTTTTGCCATCAGATGGCAGCCTTTTCCAGATATCCACTGAAGATCATGGAGTATTTTAATGTTTCCTAACTTTTTACAATGTGCTGCTCTTTACCGAGTCATATTACTGTAATGTGTCTTCAGATTTTGCCACTGAGTCAATACTTGGTTGTGTTTCAGGTATTTTGTCTATGGCCAATGCTGGACCCAACACCAATGGATCCCAGTTCTTCATCTGCACTGTTAAAACAGAATGGTAGGCAAATATGTTGAATCAATCTTGAAACGAGTGTGTAATATCTGGAAAGCCACAGCAAGTGCATCATGATACAGACTAATGCAGAATGTAGTAATATTGTCCTTTCATTCAGCATCAGCTGAAGATCAATACATTTATCTCTATTTTCTTTAGCTTTCTACCAATATTTTTTCAATAAAGCAGGAATTAATTTTTTGTCAGACTGAAGTGAGCAGCCATGCAAGATGTACTTGAACAGGGAATCAGATTAATTAAAATGTCTGATTGTACTCTCAGTGGGGATTTGCCACCCCTGTAGGGGTTATTGAGTACCCTTCTTTCTTTGAAAAGCTGTGTATTGCTGCCATGAAAGCACACAGAAATCCTATTGATACTTGCACGGGGCTTAAAGCGGCAGAATCGCAGCAGGAACTCTCATTGCTCAGCAAAAAGCAACAGGTCAGCGTGGATCATCTCATCTTAAAACAAACCTCTTCTTCATTTAGGCTGGACGGCAGACATGTTGTGTTTGGCAGCGTGAAGGAGGGACTGGACGTGGTCAAGAAAGTGGAAACCTACGGTTCGCGCTCCGGGCGAACCTCCAAGAGGATCTCCATCACAGACTGTGGAGAGCTCAAATAGACTCCTGTGTGAACAGTCATCATCTCATCTCCTGCTATGATCCTAACAGAACAATCAGAATGAAAGGTGCTCTTTCTTCAGTCTGGGCTGAAAATAGAGTATCTCAGAACCTCACTTATTGTTTTATATATGCGCTCAACTACTGTTTTGTTCTTTCTCTGGACACCAATGAAAGCACTCAGCAGTGTTGTTGCTTAAACTGTGAACTTATAAAATGGTTTGTCGATGGTTCTGCTTTATTTGAAAGAAATTGTCTCATTTTTCAAGGTGGCATTTAAATTTGACCATATATATTTATTTTTTAAATATATAATGTTGTCATTGCCACTTGGTGTTATGGATTTATACTACTGTCGTTTGAAAAGAGCCCACTCATTTCAGTTGAGGGACTGGCTGAATTAAACCCTCTGAGTCAAAGGAGCGTGTGGTTTTTAAGGAGCTATTATTTTATCACCAGCTGAAAGGGAAACCGTTTGGTCTTCTAATTTTGTGTCACCACTGATAATACGTATGTTATGTTCCAGGATTGCTGCTGCTGATGGCGTTTAAGCGATAAAAATACAGACCTAATAACCGAATGTGAATAGAAAAGCTGTCCAACACACCCTGTCAAAGATTCAGCCTGCCTAGACTGCCTCTGATTGGACAAGCTGAACAATAGGTCAAATGAATTCAGTTTGGAAAATATTGAAACATAATTAAAAAACAAAGTAAGACAGTTAAATGGGGAAATAACGAGAAAAGTTATTCTTACAATGCCCTCAGACAAGCTATTTGTTCCATTTCCAGCTATAGTGCTTCCTTATCTTTGGTTATCCATAATATAAGTAATCTAATTTGGGCTGCCCAGTCATAATTCCTCAGATCAGGCAGGGTTAGGCAACTCTTATTTATGGCTAAGTAGTATCTTATATTTGATTATTGCTTACTACTCTGGAAGGGACTGAAAACAAAACAAATTCAGAATTTAAAACAGCCCACAATCATACAATTATTTGGCTAGATGTACAAAGAAAAATTATTATGCTGAACGCTTTATTCAAGAAACAAATGGTAACAAATGTACAATATATACAATTTTAAGAAAATCTAAGTACAGATGAACAATACTATTTAAACAGAGTTAAATCAAGTAAATTGGGTTATTGATATTGTTTAAAAATTACCAACTTCCATCATATGTTTGAAACTGATGTACACTGGTGATTGAAACATAAATATGGTACGAAACAAATTGAGAAAGCACAAAATAGACCAAACACAAATCTATCAATAAATTTACACTTCTGAGCTTTGCAGAGCAGATGAATCTGCCTCTGGAGGCCTCAACTGTTCTGCTCCTAAGGGAGAGAGTTTTGTCAGTAAATATTATTGCTATAGTACTTTGCATCTATAATCAGTGTGTTTTGATTATGTGGCTGTGATTTAAAAAGTTGCCTCAAGTGAAATCTCTCTATAAAGATTTCAGCGCCCAAGAAGGATACACTTTTATTATTTTTATCTCGAATTGTGTCAGAAAAATCCTGATATTTTGATCAATTACTTGTTTGTTTAAAAGCAGAATTTTTAGAACAAATTCTTGGGCGAAAATCCTTAGTAACTGCTGGTCTAATGCGATACGTCGTTATTTTTTTAAAATTTTTTCCAGATTCAGTGTACTTACGATTATTGCCTATGAAACTCTCCTGCAAAAAAAATGAAAGGCTTGTCAAAAATACATTCGTAAATATTACAGCTGTGATGCATTGATTGCAACATTACCTTTTTACTGTCCTCAAGTGCTTGCACGATGGCAGCCACCACCAGGTTCGCTAGCACAAACTGGGCCACGATAACGAAAGTTATAAAGTACATCGGTGAGGCCCAGCGTAAGTAACTGGAACAGTCGGCGTCGTCGGGTCGGCACTCCCTCAGGGTGTCCTGCAGTGACACAGAGCCAGATGTTCATCCACTGGCTGGAAGGCCTCACATAACTTGGCCCGGCTGTGCAGTTGTACGTGACAGGTGTCCAGTGAGCAAATTACTAAAAACCCTCATTGCTGAAGGTTGTATAGATGCATGTGTGATGTGTGTACATACTTTCAAGATTCCATTCCAGTTGTCCCCGGTGCAGACTGCGTACAGGGCGAGCAGAGCCATGGGGAAATTTTTGAAATGGGTGTACCGGTTTATCCCGAGGCACGGGTAGTCAGGGGTGCAAGCTGTTAACAGAGACAAAAAGAAGCAGACAGACGGATGTTTTTTTTTTCTGCACCGCTAATATATTTCAGTATTGCATTTGAGGCACAGTTTAGATTCCCAAAAGGAAAACGTTTCAGGGAAACTGACTTTTAATCCTTCTCCAGTGCATGATATGATATGCGTGTTAATTATTTAATGCTCATCATTTAAATGCTCATCTGGGTTGACTAAGGTGTTTGGCTGCTCTCGAAAAGAAAATGTTTTAATGTTTGTCATGTCAGTGGAACTCACCTAACTTGCCAAAAAGTTCCACCCCAAGGACAGCAAAAATGAAAAACAAAAAGAAAAAAAGAAGGCAAATGTGTCCAACCTGAAGTGAAAGAAGCATACAGTAAATCACTGGAGGCATCTCTGAATCAGAAGATAAATTAACACGCTAACTTCAGCTTGGATTAAATCCTGCATTTTACTCACTAAGACGTGCATGTCAAAAGTTGGAAAGTTTTTCATGCGAGTTTTAAAGACTTAGTTTTAATCTACAAAAAATGTCCTTATGTAAAAATGCCAAAACGTGCGAAATCATATTCAACCTATAGATAAAGTTTAACAAAGCAGAAAACAAGGAAAAGCATGCCACAGGACTTTTGCAAACACTAGTAACAATCATGTGGTAGTCGCTCAAAGTAGCACATTTAGGACTGATTGGTGGATGACACCTGTACTCTCTGGGCTCAGTTTTTCCTCTAATTTGCCTTGATACATCAGATGAAGCACAAATTCAGAGCTCATCAAAGAGCTCATTTACATGCACTTAACTATCATGACCTTGATAACCTGTTTTTGTATGTTCACCTGAGAGAGAGTTTTGGTGATCGTCCTCATCAGAACTGTAACCCTCCTGTCCTTCAGCACTGATGGGGAAACAGCAGTTGTCATTAGGAATTGTCCGGTGTGCAAGCACAATGATGAATTTATCATGACAGATTTTACGTGATTGCGTTCTCGTGAATGTGTGTGTTGAAGTACCTTGTGCAAGTCGGAGGATGTGACAGACTCTCAGTGCATTGAAACTGAAGTTCACTGTGCGTGTCATTCTCAACAGACTGAAAACTGCGCTGATGATGGACGCTATTAAAATGGCCAAGTTTAAGCTAAACACACACACAAACACACGGCATGTCAGCCACATAAGACACAGCAAAAATGAAGCAGAAGACAGACATTATCCCTCATTCCAGTGTGTCACCGTTTTTTCATCAACTTCTTCCATCCAAAAGCCACAAACATCAGAAGGACTTCGGCAGCCATGAACAGGGTGAAGACATAGTGGGCGCAGTCTCCAAGAATTGTCAAGAACTAAAACACAGGCATATGCACATGTGGTTTTAACCTCCACCCCAAAATGCTGAATCTGGTTCAGAGGAGAGTTTTGTTGCCTTACCTTTGGCTGTCGATGATGCTCAAAAGCCATGATCAAGATATTGCAGGATATTATGATGGTTGCTAGAATGTCCCAATTCCTGCCGGTGCTCAGTTTAACTATGTATTTATGTGTGGCTGCATAGTTCTCTTCAAGTGGCGCCACCGCATTTTCTGAAGTCAGGACACACACATGCACAAGAATGGCCACAAAAAGAATTAGTGTGACTGTTGAAATGCTATATAATAAAAAGAGTTGCTATTCAAAGGAGTTACATGAAAAACGTTACATAATCTCTAGAACCCCTCTGCTTACGAGTGGAAGGACTGCTATCTGGCGGTTTGCCATTGTCCTCTTGTTTCTGTGCCTGACGACACTGGTGGAAGGTCTCCACCATCACACCGATGAACATGTCCAGAAGAAACAAGCTCATGACCATGAACAGGATGAAAAACATCAGCGGCCACTGATTGTTGTTCTTTTTGGGCTGAAAAGGTAAAATGGTGTTAATATATAACAAAAATCTTGTGTGTTTGTAGCTCAGAAACCATACAGCACATAACAGTGTACAAACATAATGCGAAATGCAGGATGCAAAAATTACCTGCTTGTTAACATCAACAGCATCTAAACCGTCATACATAACGGCTAACCATCCATCTTTAGAGTACATTACAAAAAGGGTAAGCAGGGCCTGAAAGGGAAAAACAGAGAAATAAGAGTTCATGTTTCCCACCAAAAATCCCTCTGACTGCGAAAACAAAACATTGTTTTCAGGGCAACATTACAGAATACAAACTTTAGTGTCCTGGTATGATAAACATATACCTGAGAGTATTTGAAAGTGTTCGTAAGAGAATGTAAGAGGGCTTATGAGAAAAAGCCTTGAGTTGGTCTACGTTTTGTCTACGTTTTGTCCGTCACAGCTTTCATTCAGAGAATTTTTTTTATCTTCTGAGTGCATTTGGAGTCTGGCAAACTGTGTGGAATCATTAGGTTCTTCCCGTGTTCCCTCTGGGTTAATCCGAGAGGATTGACAGTCAGAATGTGAATGTGTGTGGTTGTCCGTCTCTGTCCTTTCTGTGTGGACCTGTAATGGACGGATGACATGTCCGGCGTGTGCCCCGCCTCTCGCCCATTGACAGCTGGCATAGGCTAGAGCCCCCTCCCGACTTGGAATAAGCAGGTACGAAGCTTATAATTGAATCAATGAGGTTTCAGTTTGATTTTGTGGAAAAATTACATAAAAGCTAAAGTTGCTGTAAGAGTGTGAGGACCTACCTGTAGTAGGTTGTCAAAATTGAATGTGTTCTGCACCCACTGATAGTTGGCCGCCAAGCAGTCGGACTTGTTGACGATCATGCTTAAGTCCTCACCCACGCAATGAAAGAACTGTCCTTTGAATAGCTGATGTTCGTGTGACACAGAGAGAAAGAGTCAGGGTCCTCATTTCAGTTGATCTACTGTAAAACTGGTGGTCCATTAATGTCCATGAGAGGCACATTCCTGAGGGCCGACAAAAGCTGTGCCTCACCTGAACTCCAACAATGCCAAAAAAAAAGAGGAAGACGCAGCTAATGAGAATGATGTTTGCCATGGGTTTCACCGATGACACAAGAGCCTCCACAGCCAGCTTCAGTTTTGGCACTCTCTTGATCACCCTGGAACGAACATAAAACAAGCCAGATGTATCAGAACCAACAAAAAGGCAGTTAAATCGTAACAGATCTGAGACCACACAAACACAGAATATCTACTCAAGCACAATGTACCTGAGAGGGCGGAGAGCACGTAGCAGGCGTAAAACTTTCATCAGACTAAACATCCGCGTCTCTCCAGATGCCACAAGCTTGAAAAGTACATGCCCCAAAGACGAAATGACTAGAAAACCATCCAGGATATTCCAGAAGCTCTTGCAGTAGCTGTTTTCTCCATACACAAAACCTTTGGCTGTAACCTGGTGTTAGAGAAACATCCATTAATCCTCATCTACTCAGAATTTAATAAAAACACTTCTCGAAACAACTGGAAATTTAAGACAAGACAATGTTTTAGTTGCAAGGCTTACCTTCACTACCATCTCCACTGTGAAAATAGCTACCAGGACATCAGAGAATATGTTTAGAATAGCTCGCTCCTAAAGGCCGAAAAAGAAGTGCCTTTAACCTTTTTGTCTTACAAAAAATAAAAATGAATACTTCACTATCCATTTCTATTATCAAATTCATAACATCCATGTTGACCGTGTTTGTGTGCTAGACTGGAGGCGTGTGTGTTCTTTACAGCCTCTGAGAATCATCTTAATCTTACTGTGCTATCGGCCATTATTGCAGGTCTCTCAAAAGCGTTGGTGACACAACCTATCAAGATGAAGAGCATGATGCTCCAATCAAAATACTTGTGCTGGACCAATTTCTGGCAAAGCATGCGGAATCTGAACGCAAACACAAACACACACAAGAACAGTTTAATGGGATGGTCCAATACAGTTCTATAGATCAAACAGAACAGGCTGATTATAAAAATGTTTGTGCGTGTAGGACATGCCTGTTGGTTGGAGGCAACAGGAAGAATGTCCATTCTTTGTGCTCCCTGCACCACTGCAGTGGTCTTTGGAAGCAGTTCAAAAATCTCTGTGGGGTTCGGCAGATACATATCAGTAACGTCTTTTTAACTATTGAAAAAAAAAGGCATAAAGTGCTGACTAGTCCAGTTTGTGCATTCTGTTTACACTGTGACTGAAAATGATTCATTAAAGCAATGCTACTAAAGTTGGTAAATGACACCAGCAAAATGTCACACCAAGTCAGCCCATGTCGGGTTAGCATTTCCAAAAGAACAATAGTATCTCCGCTTTGAAGACTTTCAGAGCTCACAAACTCACTTGGCATGGGTTTCTCTTTCTGAATGCAGAAGCTGCCATTGGTCCCTGGAACAGATACCAGAGGTATGCACATTATGGACTGAGGCAAACTTGTGGGAAAAATACAGCTGGCCGCTAAAACAAATCTATAAACTTACGTGTTTAGGATTTGGCACAGCTGAGCCGGTCTTAGCATCTTCTACAATGGGTGGCTTTCAGAGGAAAAGCAGACAAAATCTATTTTTGTATGCAGGCATATATATATATATATATCTGTTATACTTGAAAGCCATGGAATGGTGGAAGGACGGATGGATTTCAACATAACCATACCGCAGTCTGGAAGCTCTCAACCACAATGCTCATAAGGACATTGAGAAGAATGTTATTCCCAATCATGCTGGTGACAACAAAGTAGATAGCAGACCATCCGGAAGTGGAAGACATGGCATTGTACAGCACTATATTCCAGTCTTCTTGAGTCAGAACCTGTATCGATGAATGGTTAAAAAAAAGGAAAAGGTAAAGACAAAGACTGATATGGTAATGATGAAAAATAGTGACGTTTAAGAAAAAAGAAAAGAAAGCAAACAGCAACTTGTTAACCTGGAAGACTGTCACCATGGACCAGGTAAGTGAATCAAAGTTTTGCCTCTCATCATATCTACAGCCAAACATGTACATCCCCATCACACTGAAAAGAAGCAACAGATCGGCGTGAGAGTCATTCACATGTTGGATCTTGTACGTGATCATCTGATGTAACGAAGCTGCCCCTCAGCTTCTCTAGGACATTACAAGCAGTCACCAACAGCAGGAAGTCTTTGTATCAACACGTGTTAGAGTGCGTTCTTACCCAAAGGCGAAAACAAAAAGCACCATCAACAGGCAGAGGGTGAACACCTTCCCTAAGGTCCTGAACAGCAGCATCAGCTGCCTCTTCAGGTAGGGGAAGTTGTTCACCAGGCGCCCAAAGCGCATCATCCGAAGTGCTCGCACAGCTGGTAGCCCGGTGTTGAACAGTCCAGCTACGTCGCACAGACTGAGTGCCACAAACAACGACTAACAGTTCATCTCCAGCATCGAATACCCACATACTGTTTCGTTTTTTTCAGTTTGAAAATTGTTACAATTTTTTTTAGGAGTCAGGCTTGTATGTGACCCAGTACTAATCAAAGGCAAACATCTATCTTACCTGATCATGACGATGGTGAAGTCAAATAAGTTGCTTCCTTCCATGAAGTACAGATGTCCATAAGCAAGTACTTTTAGGACAATCTCCATGGTGAACACAACAGTGAAAAGGTAATTGCAAATTTTTAACACCTCTGTCATTTTCAAAGGCTGAAGGAGAAGAAGAAGGAAAGGATATCACACACTTTTGTAAACAAAAATATTTTAAACAAACAAAATGAAGGCTAACAAAAATAATACAGGAAGCATGATAACAAGTGAACAGTAGTAGAGTTTCCAGAAGATAAATGACTCTCTCTCTTTCTCTGGAAGGTGCAGCTGAGCTCGCATTTATCTGATATCTGCGTCTTAAGATGTTTCAAATCTTTTGTCTCACCTGCCCATGGTGCTGAACGGCCATGGAGACAGTATCCAGGAAGATGGCAAACAAAATCCCTCCGGAAAATAAATTGCCATCTACTATCTTTCTCACCCTCTTCTCAAAGTAGATAAAAAAGAAAATCAGTTTAGTGACCATTGTCAATTTTCTTTTAGCAGTAAAACCTCTAATAATGGTACGGCAGCCAGCCGGGATCCAGTCTCACCGTTGACACATTTTTCCCTTTGCTGAAGCTGCAGTTGGGTAACCTGGCAGAAATTCTACAGAAGTAAAGGTCACAGTTAATGAACGAATATGGTGTCAAAGGAGAATTGAGATGCAGACTTCATATGACTGAAAGCAACATGATGTAATGACACTGTAAAAAAAAAGGAAAACACGATGACTCATGAAACATTTCTGGGTTTATAAATCTGACCTGTCGAAGAACTTCTTAATCAACCCGTAGCACCAGGTCAGGAAGGGGGATGTGAAAGAGCAGGAGTCTTCAGTCGCTTTTATCATGGCCTCCGAGAAGAAAGTGGCTATGACCACAGCGCAGGTGTTGAGGAAGATGAATGTACCAATCTGTCAGTAAGAAAAAAACAAACTATGTCAGAGCTGCTACTCATTTGTTACAAAGCTGGGAGGTGTCTTGGAATTCTCAGCAAGAAGAAGTCCAGAGTTAAACTGGACTGCAGCTGGTATTTAAAACAACAATTCAGCTTGGCAATACGCAATTAGATTTTTTTTATGTTTTGAGTGTCTATGTTGTAGAAAAACACAACAATATCATTTACATGTCATATAACCTCTTCTCCTTTGATTTAGCAACTCACTTTCATTGTTTAGGTTAAAAATAGATAAAAAGATACATTATTTCAGTATGGCTGTATTTCTACCATTTGATAAGTGACAACTGAGATTGAGAAATAAGGGAAAATATTTAATTTAAAAGATCTGTTAGATTTTTTTGTTAAGTACCCATGCCATGTGTTAAAACACAAAGGAAGAGATATTGATACTTACAAGGGTGACAAGGACGAAATACACGAAACTCCAGAAAGAATGCGTGTCCATTATATAGTGCATGACTTCTGTCCAGCCTTCAAAAGTCATGAGCTGGATGCAAAATGAGAGCGATTAAAAAGACACCTTAAGACAGTCAGTAAGAAAAGAACAAAGATAGACAGATGTATAAATTACCCACCTGGAAAACAGTAATCCAGGCATGTCTGATGTTGTTGAAGTTGAGGTACTCAACATAGGGGTTTGGGCCATCGGGTCGACATACGTTGTAGTAAACGTTCCAGTTAACACAGTCTCCACCACTGGCTGACCAGTTACCCGGCCAATTGTTAGGTGGAGCTGCCAGTGTACAAACCTTCCCACCTTCTTTATAGGCTGGAATGTCAGCGCACCGCCTATTTCCATTCATATCTTCAGTTGAACAGAGAAATGGATCAATTTCCCCGGGGGCTGAGACATAGTACGGACTCAGAGACAAGTTGTACTTTCTGGATTAAAAAATGACAAAAGGAGAACATTAGATCTAATATGTGGGTGTCACACAGAGTTCTCTGTGTTGCAGGAGTGAAAATGAAATACAGTAAAACCTTCACTGACTAGTTTTAAAAATGTAAGGTTCTGGTTAGCTGTTCACAACTCAAATTCAAAGAAAGTTTGGAAGGTGCATAAAACTAAAACAACAATCAACACACAATTACAGTATATGCAAATATCTGAAATCAACATAATATTCATAATAGATCATAGAAATTTTGAAAATGTGTCTTGAATTATAGAAATTATATTTACATTTTCACAATAAGAAAAATAAGTGCAGAGCACATAGAATCCTATATCAGACAAGAATGGGACATTTCCCTCCAAAAGGTCCCACAGATGGTCTGCCTTCTTCCAGATTTTTAGTGACTGATAAAAGCAGAGTGTTGACCACACAGTGGTGAACATGGAACTTTCACACATGTTGTAAGATATGCTGCTGCCATCAAACTGAAGACTAGTGAAGGCTGTTCATGTAATAATCAAGCTGTCTCACTTTCAACATTCTGTTGTTCTGTTTAGTTCTTTTCCATTTTACTTAGCATCCCAACTTTTTATGGAATAAAGGTTGTAGTTTCTGTCACTGCAGCCCAGACAGAGAAGAAGAGTCAAATAATGGGAGAAACACTTCTTACGTGACAATGTCCTCTCCCAGGAAGCATCGGTTGTTCAGCTCCCCCATCCACAGCTGAACTCCAATGACAGCGAAGACGTGGATCACGAGCAAGTACATGACTACCACACTGGTAATCATGGGTGTGATGGTCACAAGTAGAGACACCAATCCTCTCAAACCTACAAAGAGGAACAGATGAGAATGAAGTTTTCATGAATTCCAGCCAGAATTTTTTTTATTTTCCCTCTTGATAATTGAATTTTAATAGAACTGACAGGTATCTGATATGTCATTGATGTCCTATGTCCTCACACGTGTATAAACATCCCCTGTGTGGTTTTTCTCACACATGGCAATACACAGTAGCACATTTCATGACTAAACTTTCATAATTGAAACTAACATGGAGATAAATCAATTAATTGTCGATCATAATAAACAATCCATGAAACACTTGTACATACAGTTTAATCTATATACAAATGAACATCTGTTTTTTGGCTGTTTACGGAAAAATATATCAATAAAGCAATATCATGTAACGCTCAAATATCAGCCTACTTTTTGTCTTGCTGATCAGCCGTAATGACAGTAGTGCAGGACCAAATCCTAAAGGGAATCCAAAACTGTCATTGATGATGTCGACTATCCTGTGAAGATGGTCCAACACAAACAAGCAGATAAGCTTAATTTGCATTTTTCAATATGCCAAGTTGACATGGGAGTGCTGAGGAGTTTGTAGTGGTAATTGTTAAGTAGCAGCTTAAAGATTATGGAGCAGGGAATTTGAGGGATACTTACTGTGCACAGGTTAGTGCAAAGTCCAATTTGTTCCATTTGTTGGAAAGGTAGCTTTCTGGACGGCCGTAGACGCCCATGGCGACCATCTTAACCACCATCTCCCAGAGAACGTAAAAAAAGACCACGGCACCCACAATCTGGTTGGTTACAATGGAAACAAAATCCACAAGATTAATATGTATAAACAAAAGCCAAGTGAATGTGTTTTCTTTGTTATTATTATTATTATCTGAAAAGAACTCTGTTCTGGTTCTCATAACATCAGTTCATGCCTCTAAAATCACTCTCACCCACCACATGGTAGCGCTCCTCTCCCTTACAGGGGTTGTAGTTGACTTTAGATAAGCAGCTCACCAAAATGATGGATATGGTGATGTAATCTAACCACGTTCAAGACGTTAAGTAAAAAAAAAACAGTCTGTAATTCATCTGCAACACAAATTTTAAGGTCTAATGTCCGAGACACTCAATGAGGCTACTAGTTACCTGTCCTTTAGGAAAGAATATTGTCCCCAGTGAAGGTATTAAAGGTATGTTTTTATAAAGAGTCAGCTTTAGCTGGTGTTGGCCCCAGTATTTTTAAACTCTATCAAAGGATATCAGCTATTTGCAATCTTTATGCAGCATTGACGGAATTTTGTGGTCGGTAACTTGTCCTTGACTGGTGTCACTGGGATGCTTCCCTTCTGTGCAGGGAGCTGCTCCTCAGCAACACCCATTCTGACTCTGGATCACAAAGGAAATCAGGAAAATGAGAGAGAGAGATGAGTCAGGTTTAACAGATGACACAACATGGATATAAAGACAAAACTATCTAAGTTTAGGGGGAGATTCTTATGACCTGACATGGCACCATGTTCAAAGCAAATATATATAAATGCAAACCTAACAGAAAAATGTTTTGAAGTAACGAGAATATGAATAAAGAGTAATAAAATGTCAATTAGAAGGCAGTCACTGAATTAACTTATTTGTTAAACAACATCACGTGATAATACATTGTTGATATCGGAATGAGGAAATCTTTTCTCGTAACGGGGGGGGGGGGGGTTAGCACCATCGCCTCACAGCCAGACGGTTCTGGGTTCGAGTCCCAAGGGGGACCCAGACCAGGTCCTCTCCGTGTGGAGTTTAAATATTCTACCTCTCTGCGTTGGTTATCCAGCTTCCCCCCACTGCATTATGCTTCCGTAAACATGTGATAGCTGAATAGTACAAACGGGATCATTTCTCAGATGCTGGCAGTTGTAGCCGGTAAGGTCAGACTGTATGCTAACACACACTGAGGAGGACCGGCTCATTTTGAAACTCCCACGAAGTCCACCGCAACTCTCCAACTGGTCGACGAGGAAAGCAACTAGCAACTAAAGCTACTCAGACTGTTTAAGATCTTTCGGTGTCTGCATTCAATAATAATGACGTGCTCCACATGTGCGGAGCAGCATCAGGTGAGGATGGAAGTGTGAGGCCGGAAGAGTTTGAAAGAAACCAACTGCCAAACGTCGCGTTATGGAAGCCATATTTCATTATATTTTTGAAACCATGTTTTAAAAAAACGTGTTTAACTTTTACTGTATGTTTGAGGTGACGTTGAAGGAAAAAACCCTGAGTTGGGACAAAACAACGAAACAACCGTTCCCCTTTCACTGCCGAAGGTTTTAGCTTCCGGACAAGAGGAGGATGGTGGATGGATGGAAGGATGGAGGTTTTAGCCGGTTAAAATCAGTGGTGGACAAAGTACTCAGTTTCGTTGCTAGAGTAAAAGTACAGATCCTACAAGTCCAACATTGCTTCAGTAGAATTATCTGTCAAATTATTACTTCAGTGCAAGTACATTTACTTTGTAATTGTGTACCGGGTACCTCTGATGTAGATGTATTATACGGTATGGTACCGCATTAATAGAAAAAATAATAATAATACATTCCGTTTTCACTGTTTTTTTAACAGCATTTTGTTACAGTGTGACATTGGGCTTCTTTAGGGAATTAAATGGGAGTAAATATAAGACTTACCGAAATCAATCCTCGGGGTTTCTCTGAGACGTTCAGTTGTCAAGGTGACAAAACGTCAGCGTGAGGTTTGAAAGAATTCAACTTTCAAACGTCGCGTTCTGGAAGATGATAATAAAAACGTAGCAACAGGTAAGGGAATACGGGTCAAAAAAACATGTTTAACTGTTACTGTATCTTTTCAGTAGCGATGAAGAAAAAATCCCTCAGTTAGGATACAGCAACCAAACAATCGTCCCCTTTTCACTTCCACAGCTTTTAGTTTGTTTTAATCAGCAGTGGACAAAGTATTCAGTTTCATTACCTGTGTGAAAATACAGATCCTACTGGTCAAATATCTCCCGTAAAAGTTGTTCTGTCAAATTATTACTTGAGCTCCAGTGCTTTTCTGCTTTCAAAATATTACTTGAAAATCTTCCATCTTGAAAAATAGTTTTCAACAGTCCATTTCAACTGACTATAGTAGAGAACAGTTGGGGATAATTTACCGATATATTTGACAGGCTAATAACAGCAAATGCATGATGATAATTTTTTATGAATAATAAAGCGTCCCTCTTACATGCTCAAAGATGCTTTACAATTTATTTACTCCTCAGTCACATTTGGAGTGGAGACATCATTTTGTGGAAGCATCATTCTGCTCTTAGAAGAGGTCCTTCATACAATGTTTCATAAATATATTTTCAGCAGAAGTTAAAAGAAAGAAAGAAAGCTGCAATTTAAAGTACAAATTACACCAGAACAACTTGAGACTACACTTAAATTATACCAGCACCAATCAAACCTCAAAGTAATGTACAAATCTTCAAAAACCGTATTTCAGGACAGCACTAAACTAAATTCACTTTGCTATTGTTCACCTCATGTTATAGTTTTGCCAGCACGTATATCAGGAATTATTAATTAAGTCTAAAGTTGGGGATGCATGGTCATCCTTTAAGGCAAGAGGGTTTACCACTGGACTCCCAGCCGGGAGCCTCTCTGTGTGGAGTCTGCATGTTCTCCCCATGTATGAAACCTGCCCTGGAATCTGCATGCATCCATTTTCTCATCTTCATCCTCAGAGGTTCACAGCCTTTTTAATAGACTTTTAAGGTCTAATTTTTCTTTAGAATGTTTCCCAGACCATGTAGTTACACAGTGGAGTGCCATTTGGGTTATCCACCCAAGCCCTGGATGGGCTCCAGTACATCCCAAACTTTCCTCATCTGATCCAATTTCAGAAATGACCTATGGGGGGCAGTAAGCCACCACACCTCTGTTCAACAGTGCCTTAACCTGCTGACCACTGCTGTATTTTGAATATTGTGCTTTGTAATTGGTCTTGGTACAGTACACAACATAAACAGCTTTGACTGCTTTGTCAGGAGAAAGTGTAGTCTAAATTGTAGCACACATAACATCTTACATCTTGTAGAGTTAAGCAGGGTTTACAGAGGAATTCCTAAAAATAACTGTGCACATGCTAGAAGTGAATTATGATACAAGAGCATTTTTGGTAAATTCTCACTTTTTTTATGGGTAAAATTTCCGATGTCCCCAAAAGTCGTGAGGGCAAAATATGTAACCAGATGCATTTACTGTGATAAGTAACTCTTTGAAAATGAACTTTTGCATGCCATGACTTAGAGGATACTTATACTTGTTACATCTACAGATCTAGGAATCAGTCTTTCATGCAACTACATCATTTGAGACAGAAACACGCAGAACATGTTTTAAAAATGAAATTTTATGCAAAATTACACAAGTTATTCGAATATAGGCACATTAAATAGATGTTCACATCATCTTAAGCAGAAGTCAAAAGGTTATTCCAAACTAAATCAATTTATACTACAACCACAAAAAAATAAAATATATCCTAAGAGGCAACAAGCACTTGCAGCCTTTGTGTGACAATATATTTTTCTTCTTATTCCGAATATCTATATGCCAACCCATAAAAGGCACTTTGTATTCAGCACCATGTGCCAAGATAAAGCTGCTCTGATTACCTTTGTCAATAAAGAAAAGATTACTCATATATTCACCATGACCTACCTGCCAGGTGTGTTCAAATCAAATTGTAGCACAATGCATATAATAACAATAAAAAAAAAGTTAGGATGAATAGTTGACTAAGATTCTTTTCCAAAGTGTAACATTCAACAAAAAAAGTATGGCTTCTATATTCAAAATATATCCATTAATGGTTATAATACAGACAGTATTGCAGATGGATATTAAAACTGTATACATTTCTTTGTAAAAACTTGCATATTTTATACAGAAAAAAAATCAGTTAAGTTATTTCTAAAAAGAAATATACAAACAACATGTAGCAGAATCTTCCTCTGAGATGTTTTACGCCACTCGAAGTGAAAGAGCCAAAACTTCTCCATTCACAGTTGGAAGGATTCATGGTTCATAGTAAACATCTGAAATTAATACTCACACAAAGATAAAGGCTGTTAGATAGAAAGAGCCTCTTATACCAACCGTCGGAGGATATACCCCAAAAGTAAAAAATTAGATGTACGTCTACAATAAGTATTCTTTAATATGTTTTGTTTAAGAAACTGAAATATTTCCTTCCATTTTTTATATGATTTTGAAGGAATGTCTCAGGCAGGCAGAGCATGTTATTGCACACGACGGCAGTAGTAGCCGAGGACTTTACACTTTTCACACAGGTGTTGTGGATGCTCCTTGCTCTGGTCAGAGACGTCCAAGCCGTCCGGTTTTTCCAGAGGTCTCTGAAACAAACAAAGAGGATTACTCCACAGTTTTTGTCCACAGTAGTTACGGTTAAAGCTTTTCATAACCAATGGAATTGTCTTCATTTAGGTATTATTCTTAATTAACAGTGGAATAATCATGTGTGTCAATCACCTTTCCTCCAACTGAATAATAATCCTGGTTGTACTGCGTATCTTAAATGGGTGCATATCAGAAGTCAACAAACAATTCAAACATTTAAATGAACACATAGTTAAGACTTTGCTTGAAATGTACAGTGGTAACTGCATTGGTGACTATAAGCTTTTGCCCACATGATCCTGATCCTGATGGTTTTGTGTAAAAAGAATAGTTTTCTTTTTAAATAAGAAAAAAATAAAAAACTCCATTGATTTCAAATGAGCAGTATCAGAACCCTGTTTCCTGATTAGCTCCGCTCAGATGTTTATTTACCTGCTTGTGAGGATAAACATTGATGTGACACTTGATACATTCTTGTCCCATGTTGGCCCAGGAGTTCCCACTCATCCACTTTCTCTTGCATTTAGGGCACTTATATTCACCGAAACACCTCTTCTTTCCCTGATATGGGGTCAAGCCTTCACCTTTGGGTCGAGCCTGAAAAAGAATTTAAAGCACAAAGTTTGCCCAACCAAAACATAACATGTAAGCTTTAACAGCTTTGAAGCATTATGGTCTTCGCCCCTCACCACCTTTAGGAATAAACTGACAGCAGCCCCATTGGAGGCGCTCAAAGAATTCAAAATCAGTTTGCTTTAAAGGCTGATTAAACTTTATTTAGAGTTAAATGATCCTTACATTGCACAAAGTAATTTGTTGCATATGAGTTGGTTCAACAGGAGACTGCAGAAATTATAACTCCTTCCAAAGAATATGTGATATACTCTTAGGCACAATGTGTTTATTGGACAGTGAAAAATGTGTCTCAGCTTTCACATTGGAAATAAACTCCTTCCCTCCAGCTGTGTTCCCAGGGGACTATGGAGGAGGCCTTGGCCGGTCTGTGGACCAATCGCAGAGACCCCACTGCTCTAGGACAAATACCTCAGGCTCTCAGTCATCCCTCTTGGCTGCTCCAAGCTCACCAATCAGAATGCACATATTTAGGAAAGAAGGAAATAAAACCCAGATGAACTCTGCACTCTTGCAACATGACGAAAGCCTGAAGCTACCCTGGATAAATATGTTTTGGTTGAGAAGCCCCCTGAAAAGTAGGACACATTCAGATTAAGACTGAATCTCCATCACTTCATGTATTGTTTGGATTTGACAACACGTCATCTTTTGAATGTATTCCAGACTTAAATTTAAATCTTTTTCAGGATGGCACAGTTTAAAACATTTTTTTTTAAAGCCATCCATTCCAACAGCCAAAGTCATCATGAAGCATTTCCAGACCCGTGTTTGCATCATTCAGCCACCATGAGGCACTATGTGAGGTCACTTTTGATGGCAGCCCACAAGTTCTCAGGCGTCTACATGGAGAAAGGACTGATCATTATCTTCCTGAAGGAGGAAACAGCTTTCACTCTACAGAACAAGCTAAACAAACTCAACCTACAGCCTGGAGCCCACAGAGCATCCCAGGGCACGGCACACTCCAGAGTTTCCACTGGTGGAATCAAAGCTGCCACTGACACCGACAGACATTTCCACTTTTGACCTGGTAGTTAAAGGGCACTTTAACAGAGAGAAGATTGGATTGAATAAAGGTGGAAAAATGAACATGGCCGTTGTCAAGCCATCTGTATACTTGATACGCCTTTGCAATATCACAAAAACAAGTTATTAGATAATCTGCACTCAAGAAAATCATTTTTCTTTCATAGTGAATAATAAATAAATGTGGTATGAAGTGGTATTGGAAACAACATCTTGTGTGACTAGAACTATCAACTTTTCAAATTTATTTTTCACCGTAAGCTACTTTTTAATTAGAATGAAAATATGCTCACATCATGACAATGCTATCGCGCTTAACAGTGAAAAGTGTCCCTCTTTTATTTTCCTCTAGATCAACAATAAAAGGAAAGATCTATATCTGGAAAACAGACTGCCCCATTTGTGGCTGTAGATTAGCCTAAAACTGGGAGCACAATATAAACCCAGGATATGTTAGACTTTTTTCTGTCACAGATGCCGCTTGAAAGAGGCAGAATTGACATCAGGGACAGTAAAACTAATCCAAAGGTTAGGCTCTTCTTCCATGGTCATATAAAAAAAACTTGTTTTATGCTTTTAAGCATTCAACTAGAATGCTACAAAAGTAAGTTACATATCACCAGAAGGAGGAAAAGCATTTTACTTACTTTACTTTGACTTATTTTGGTCAAAATTAAGCACATAAGAAAGCTAAAATTTAATTACTTTACACCTGAAAATGAAACCATAAATCTGGTTTTGGATGAAACAATATCAAAGTGATTAAACATGTAAACTATTACACATTTGATCCCTCAGCCTTAGCCTATATAGCTTACATTGTGTCCCAGGAGGCAGCCTCAGAATGGACAGAGCTGTAGCAGATAAGCTTGGCAAACATCCTTGCACCCTGTTGAGAGAGGCCCGGGAGGTGGCTCCCATCATCTGGAAACCATCAGGATAAACAATTGACCACTCCAAATCCCACCACCCCTCCACCTCACTCCCAAAAGCTCCTTGAGACATTCAACCTGATGGGCACGAGCCCACTGGATACCCTGTGGTCAATTACTCCAAACTAACAAAACCACATGGCTAATGCTCCCTGCGAGTTTCGTTTGCATCAGCCCCTCACCAGCTGTTGCGGAAGTAAAACAACACATTAATGCCTGATGTGCAACCTTGGAACAAATGTTTCTCCTGGAGGTCAGAGATTTAAAAAAATGAATAAATGAATAACTTCTGCCAACAGAATTCAAATCAGTACATGTTTTACTGGAATTTAGGATTCTTTTACAAGTTCTTTGTGCAGTACTAACACTAAACATCCATCAATGATTTCTCATATTTAAACATCTACTGCTCATCCATCAATTTCTATACCACTTATTTTAGTCCTTATATTTAGATGTGATCAGATCAGAAATCACAATGGGAAATCCAAAATCGCTTTATTGGCCAAATGTATGGCGTACACAGGAATTTGGGCTGATGCAAACCACAGGAGGCCAAAGGATTTTTCCCACGCGCACAGATTCCCATACATCATACTTCTCCGCATAGATTTCTCAGACAGAATTGGTTTTATTGGGGGATGGTAACATGCACCTTGCTCACTCCAAAATCTGAGCTCTACTTATGTTGATGACATATGCAGCTGGACACCAGTGTTGCATTTCACAATGAGTGAATGGCGGGGACAGGTGTCCTGGCAGACAAACAAGAAACCCCACTGCAAAATATCCCCAACTTCAGCTCGAAACATGGGGTATGGAAAGAAGTTGGGTATTTTGAAAGGATTTACAAAAAGAAAAAGGAAACAATAGCAAAAATATGATGCAAGTCTATTTAGACAATGAAAAAAGTAAACTTGGCGGCTGTAGGTCAACCTGGAAAATCTGCAATCTAAAATCACAAAATCTTTAAGGAAAGTGATGTCATATTTTAAACATGCAAGTTCATGAGGGCTTAGCACTGCATCATTTTTCCTGTATGTTTCTTAGCTTTCAGCAGATGACAGATATTGTTTATCAAAGGGAGCCTATCTGCCTCACATTCCAGGGTTTCCTCTATCTAGCTTGTCCTCCTCGGCAGATGCTTCAGCCAAAAGAAACAGACAGATTATTGTGAGCAGATAAGGCACTTATCAGCAATAAAACAAAAGGACTGAAGCTGTACTAATCAGTCAGCGTTGCATGGGTTACCAAATTCCAAGCTTGCCTCTAAACTATATGGTCCTTCCTGAATGGAGGCACATTGGGCAGCCCGAAATATTACTGTTTTGCACTTAAAAGCACAACCACATTTGATGAGAGGGGATTCATTCAAAAAGAAGCTTGAAATGACAGAATGTGATCTATTCTGTTTATGGTCCATAAAATACCGAACTGTTCTTAACACTGGGTACAGCTGCAATTTAGACATGGAAGTTTCATATTTGGGTGAAATATTTAATGGTACGTTATGTTGACGGTTTGTAGAAATAAAATTGATCTACTTCCCACTCTCTGCTGTGCTTCAGCTCTTCCATCAAAACCCCTTTTTTCAGAGGAGACTGTTTTAAAAGCGGTTTTAAATTTTAGGGTTTCTGTAGCCACCAGGAGTGTAAGCTTAGAATTCAAGAAATGCAGAGACAACCATATCAGACTGTGGAAAGGTAGCACCAAATCATTTGTTTATTAAATGTGAACTTGTCATTTAAATAAATGTTTCCCAAAAACATTGTGGATACTGTCAGCTCAAGGCAACTGGCTGTCTGGGTTTTTAAATGTAGGTCTGACAGTCGCTTCTCAACACTGGCAAAGAGACAGCGATGACTCTAGCCAAGAGGAGCTGTGTGAACAATACAGCCTGACTTCCTGACCTTTGGTTCCACAGCCCCTCAACAGAAACAATGCTCTCCTTATTCATTTCAAGTCCTTCCCACCACACACCCATTTACTGTTAGCACTCCGTTGCCTGGGTCAACTTTTTACAGTAATCAGGTTCAAACTGAATTAGTAAAGAGTCATTAAAATGTAGTGGTTTCAGGCTGAAGAATAAAAGGTGTAAAAATTCTAAGTATGGTTATAAACAACCTTGAAATCATCCAACTGCAAAAGGAACAAGACTGTTGGCTTCACAATCCAGTTAGATTGAAAGTGACTCTTGAAGTGATGTTTCTATAATCAAACGCAATAATAAAATGCAAAAAATGTATAAAAGCGAGCTGTTTGAAGCTATAAAATGACTCCAGCCAACGAGAACAAAACAGACTGTTCATTAGTAACAGCTTCAGAGGAACATTGGACTGAAAGGGCCTTTTTGTCATGACAAAAGCTCCATAATCAACACTTTGGGTCTAAAATATCAAAAACACATGATACAATCTGACATAATTGTTCTAAATCGGAGCATAAGGGACTGAGATACAAGCCCATGGATGCTTTACACATTTTGAAGGATGCAGATGTAAAAGCATTCATTCTTGAGCTGAAGCTTGGACCCAACTTTCCAAAATATGACACACGCAGTGGGCAGCGTTTCTCAGGATTTCAAGCAGAACTGAAAATGTATTCATTTTTTACCACGTCAGGCTTTCACAGAAGCAGAATGTGTATCTTCGACATATATAACAAGTTCGGGGTTGACACTGACCGCACTCTTCTTCTAAAAAAAGCTGGCCATACACACTCATCCTCTAAGTCTCCAAGTCTCCTACATTGTTATTTTGCTGATCATTTGGAAGACTTATCAGACGACTATGAAATTCTGTAACAAATTTACAGCAAAACCTTATGAGGTTTCACAGATGATACACTCATTGTCTTTCTTGTCAATGTGCAAGATTTCAGTGATGACAGAAAGCTTCCAGGGCCTTCCAAGTGTTCCTCTTTCATTGAGTTTCAGACTCATTATAAAGTTTTTTTGGCCAACGCGTTTATATAATATGAAATATAAGACTGAAAATGTCAGTTATTTTGAATGAAGTCCATCTGCATATAATTGAATATCTGGGATATATTAAAAAAGCCTTACAGTTGATGGTATATGTCAGAGTAAAACAAGATCAAAAGAACAGCCCTAAGAGCTCTGAGGCAGGATTCAGTCAAGACACAGATCTGAGGAAGGATGCAAGAAAAGTCGGAAAGGATTTCAAGATCCCAAATGCACAACAGCCTTCATTGTTCTGAGATGGAAAAGGTTTAGAGCCAACGACAGACTTCCTACATCTGACTCAGTATGCGTACCAAGCCCCTGTATCTCTTGCTCAACTTGACTGTGATTCTCTTCTTGACGGCTTCCCAGCATGCACAGTAAGCCCCTACACGTGGTTAGAGAAAGCATTGGTGTTTGATCAAACCAAAACTCTATACTCACTCTGTCTCACACACAAGAGAAACCCCCCCCCCCATAGCTGTCTAATCCATTTTATTCACGCAAGCTCGAGAGCGTATGCTGGTTCTGCACTTAAAATAACTTGTTTAGCACCAATAAAAAGAGATTCAAAGCAACAAGGAGATGGTTTGTACTCAGGATTGCTCAACATTTTTCTGTATCTATCTTTTACACTGTTGGGCAGTGATGAGAACAACACTGGCACAACAGTCCAACTGAAAGTGTTTGATTATATGCTGGAACAAACCACATCTTAGTCACACTTGCTAAA